AACCAATGAAACAACAGATAGAAAGATGACCCTCCTCCATCAGATATACACTTACACATATATACTCATGCATATATATATATATATATACACACATACACCTATATATACAAACACAAGCACACAGCACATACACACACACACACACACACACACACAAATGCATATACATATACATTATCCTATACAGAGCTAGGTGTGAGGGTGCACACCCAGGAAGCAGAGACAAAAAAGATCATGAGTTCAAGAATAGTCTGGTTTCATAAGACCCTCAAAAAAAATGACTCTGCAGTCTAAATATCAACAGTTCCACAGTTAAGAATCCCTGCTCTAAGATATGGCATAGCTTTTTAAAGAGAAATTAAATTGCCAGAAGCAGACATTCAAGGGAGAAGCAGAAATGACTTAGTGAAGAGGTGGAGGCAGTGACCTCAGTTCCACTGAGAATTCAATTCTAGAAGAGGCAGAATGGATAGCCACGGAGTAAACAAGAAAAGCAATGTAAGAATGCACACGAAGTGGGCAGTGTGCCGGGCCAAGCCTGCAGGGCCTTCACATGGAGGACTCCACAGCTGGCTGCCTGTGGCCACGGCAGCTGGCAGCAAGAAGCAGCCCTCCACAAACAGAGTCGGCGATTTGTAAAGCGTCCATTCTTCGAAAACATTTCTAAGACAATGTGCAAAATCCATTTTCTCCTGATTTTACTTGAAGATGAGTCATGCAAGAGACCAGCCACAGGCTTGATTTGGGGCTTTGAAATGGGAAGCGCAGCTACTGAGAAAGATTACAGGGTAGGGGAGGTCGAGAATGACACTAAAAAGGCTGAATCATTCTCATTTGTATGGGGAGTCGGGGGAGCAGAGCCAGCTTAACCAATTTACACCACTTTGCTTCAGAAAGTAAACATACACATCATTCTGGCAACTGTACGCCATGTTTCACACGCCGGAATTAAAATAGGAAGGGGAAGCTGAGATAAACACAATGAAAAGCAATAAAGTGTGTGGGGAGAACACTGGCCACCAATGCATATGCCCTACCACTCAAGACATCTTCCTGAAGCTCCTCCCAGCCCAGGAAATTATTTTCTGCTTCAGTTGACTTCCAATGTATAAACTGAGTCACAGGAAAAGGTGCTCTAACCCTCAGCGATATGTATACGCTACAGGGTGCAGTTCAACTATAAAAACGCCGTGCACTGGGCTAAGAAGGCCATGAGAATTACTTGTAGAGCAAGCACGGATTTTTGGTTGATGATTATTGGTTTGTTTTTAAATTTACAAGTGCCTTTCTAAACTAACTTTTTAAAAAAACAAAAGTCATCATGGGGCTGGCAAGAGGGCTCAGCTGTAAATCACTGCATTGAAAGGACCTGAATTCAGTCAGCAGAACCTACGGAACAAAAGCAGGGCCTGGTAAGGTGGAGACAAACAGATCTCTGGGCTCTTGGACAGGCAATAGAACCTACTAGTGGTTTTCAGGCCATTGAAAAACTCTGTTTCAAGAGAAAAAAAAAAAAAGAGTGGTACCCTGAGGAGCAATATTGACCCAAGGTCAACTTCTAGCCTCTACAAATAAACACACACACACACACACACACACACACACACACACACACACACATTTACACACCACATTCACTCAAAAATTTAAAAAAATTAAAAATCAAGAAGACAGAAGCAAGGACGAAGGGGAGGAGACACAACAGTAACAGTTAACATTTGTTGTTTTGATTTTTGTTCATTAACAACATGTTAATGAACCTATAACAACTGTTCCGTTGACTGCCACTAGTAAACAATAATCTTAGGAGGCAAATCCTGGTAACTTATTTCCTAGCAAGTCTTGGCCTGACCTGACCCTGCAGGACAGCAAACCCTCAATGACTCAGGCTATTTAATCTCCATTCATCCCCTCTAGAGTGGCTCACAGGCTCCGCTGGAGCACAATGAGTGTGGCTGGCAATGGGTACAGTCTAGACCAGTTGTGGAGAACTGTGCATGGTTGATATATAGCTTTGTTATATATTTAGTTTACAAGCCCATGAATACCCTAAATTTGAAAACACACTGGCGAGTGTGGTGGAACAGGCCTGCAATTCTTGCCCTCAGGAGGCCTTATAAAGGGGGGGGGTGGTCCTGTGGGTTGGAAGCCAACTGAGTTATATAATGAAACTGCACCTCAAAAACACCACTCACTCCCCAAAAATAACAAGACTTGATGAACTCAAAGAGCTTTACTGATGTGGGAGTGTCATATATCAATCTGTTGATTTCATTGGTTAAGCAATAAAGAAACTGCTTGGCCCTGATAGGTTAAAACATAGGTGGGAGGAGTAAACAGAACAGAATGCTGGGAGGAAGAGGAAGTGAGCTCAGACTCAACAGCTCTGCTCTCTGGAGCAGATGCCATGCTCCCCTCTCCCAGGCATATGCGATGAAGCTCCAACCCAGGATGGATGTAGGCTAGAATCTCCCTGGTAAGCCACCTCGTGGGCTACACAGATTATTAGAAATGGGCTAGTCCAGGTGCGAGAGTTAGCCAAGAAGAGGCTAGATATAATGGGCCAAGCAGTGCTTAAAAGAATACAGTGTCCGTGTAATTATTTCGGGGCATAAGCTAGCCAGGCAGCCGGGGTGCCAGGGACGCAGCCCCACCGCTCCTATTACTACACTTTACAGCTTTGAACAGGGACTGTGAACTTTGTACTAGTTGCTAATAAGATGAGAAAGTAGAATCTAAAAAGCCAGGATGGCAGGCCACTGATAGAGCTGCCTTCCAAGTAGGAGAGTCTGGGTTCCATCTTCAGTACTGAAAAATAAATAATCCACTGGGGCTGGGGAGATAGCCCCATGGTTGAAGTGCTCACTGTGTAAGCAAGGGGGCCAAACGCGGGACTCCAGAACCAAGAGTGAAGGTCAATGACTGGGGGTTGGGTGGCTCGCCTGTAATTCTAGCCTTGAAAGGCAGGGACAGGACTTTCTAGGGTGGCTAAGCTAAACCAACATAAAAGCATCTTGACTTCAAGATTTGGGTCTAAGGATATGTTGCTTTGAAAAAGAGGTTCTGTTTTTGTTTTCCCAGAAGATGAGAACCTATGGATTCCTTCCAGACTGATGTGGTTTGATGGAACAAGACCCCTTTAAAGGTCTTCATGAGCCCATAAAAATACTTCACCCAACAAACAGCAGGAAGCAGTTTGGAGAAAACTATGTACAAATTGCTAAACTTTCTAAAAAGGGGAGGGGAAAGATGGTAAGAAATGAATGCCTTGCATTGGTATGGGCTTTGAACTATTTATACAAATTTAAGTCAATTTGCTACACTGTATGTATGTATATTTCTACCTTGTTTAAGGTATTATGTTTATACAGCTCATTAAAAATGTAATATATAATTAAGAAATACAGGTTAATAGATATCATCTACAATAACCAAACTTTTAGTCATGGTATTTAGGTTTTCTAGATATATTTCAGAGATATATTTCAGCTAGATAGATAATCTTCAGCACTCCAAAGACCTATAGATTAAGGCATTTGAAGGGTTTTTAAGAACTTAGGCTTATCTCAATAGTAAGATATGTCTGATTTTGGCAGTGCCAATTACTTCAAGAGGATTATGGGCATCAATGAGGCTCCTTATGGAGTTTGCTAACCATTTGAGCAAGAAACTGCTCTTGACTAGATTGCTGTACGCTGTATGAACTGGACATGCAGGACCCATAGAAAAATGACTTCTGAACTTGCTTAAAGGTGAGACAGTCTTTCAGGGTTCTTGCTTCATGAAAGAGTCTGCCAGACATTCTGCGGGACACAGAAGAAAGCAACTGATGAACTTTTCCATTACAAGGCAAAATAGATCTTCAGATTTTCTGCTTCATGGAAAAGTCTTCTGGATACTATGGGCCTGTAAGATGAAGATGGATGCCCCAACAGTACAGAAGAACTTTGGATGACAATCCAGGCAACAAGATGTCTCTGTCATTTCTAGAGTTTTAGAAGTTGCTTAGGTAATATTATATCCTTCTGGGGTCTTTGAAGAGTTGAAGACAGATAGCTATAGTTTTCCTTAGTTATAATAAAAGATAAATTATATATGAAACTTTAGACTCACAAAGATAAAACAAATGATAGTATATTTTCTTTAGTTTTGCCAGATACAAATAGACTAAATAGAACTATAATTCTTGCTTGAACCTGTTGTTATATGTAATTTTACTAGGTTAAAGTTAAAAACATCCTTTTATTTAGACAGAAAAAGAAAGGTGATGTGGGATCCCCCTCTGTGTGGTATGAATATGTGTTATTATCATTAGTTAATGAATAAAGCTGTTTCAGCTTTGTTAGCAGAGTAAAGCCAGGCAGGAAATCTGAACAGAGATATAGAGAGAACAGGTGGAGTCAGGGAGATGCCTTGTAGCTGCCGAAGCAGACAGATGCTGGATCCTTACCAATAAGCCACAGCTTTGTGCTGCTACATAGATTAATAGAAACAGGTTAATTCAAAAAAGAGTTGGCTAAAAACATAGCGGAATCTTGGCCAAACAGTGTTATAATTAATATAATTTCTGTGTGACTATTTGGGTCTGAGCAGTCAGGGAAACAAACAAGCAGTCTCGGCCAACACAGAGACACATGCAAACAGATACACAAACACCACACACGGGCACATGCAACTAGGTACATACAGACCACACACAGACAGACACATACACACCACACAGAGGCACATGGAGGCAGGGGATGGAGAAGGAAGAGAAAAAGAAACAGAAAAAGTCATTGAAAATTGCAGAAACCATGATCTCAGGGTCTTGCCAGAGCTCACGCCCCATGACTAACTGCAGGAGAAACAGAGTTCCGCATGGCCAGCTCCAACTCCATCAGTGACTCGGGTCATCCTATGTACATCTAAACGTGGTACAAACACTAATTCCAAGACATGGCTGCTGTGTGCTGAGTGACTGCTGAGGAATTTGTAAGGGGCCATGGCCTACTCACCCTTTTCTTGCTCTCTTCCTGGATGCGCAGCTCTCGAATCCTCTCCAATATGGCGTCCTCTGCGGACCCAGCCATATCCAATCCGCTGCCAAGGACCTTTGCGAGTTTCTCCCTGAAGGAGGAGATCTGGCTTTGCGAGCCTGCGGCTGCATCCCTGCTGACCTTCAAGCTCAGGTCCAGCTGCTGGCAGTTTTTCCTCAGCTGGTTCAGCTCTTGCTTTGACGCCTCCCAGGCTCGCTGCGCAGCAAGCAGCCTTTCTTGGAAGAGCTTAGCTTCCCTCTCTAGGGCTGTTTTGGCATCCAAGGCGCTGAGCAAGTCCTGAAAGATTACAGAATGCAAACAGTAAAGGGTATATCTGCATTTGATGAGGTCTACATTTACCTAGCGTACCTGCGACTCCAAGGACTTAGGGTTAGGTGTGCATTACAGTTCTAGTTCCACGGTCTCTCCATGTCTTCATGAAGTTATTAAATAAGTTGTTTGGGCTGCAGAGATCACCCCGTGGTTAAAAGCACTAGCTGCCCTTCCAGGGGTCCCCAGTTTGATTCCCAGCACCCACGCAGTGTCTCAGAACCATCTAGAACTCCAGTTCCAGGGGCTCTGACACCCTTTTCTGACCTCAGACGCTAGAGTATGTGGACTTACAATTTGAAGTAGATTAATCAAATCTCATCTAACACCAAAAGAGCACCAAGGTTAATTAAAATACTTCAGCTTTTAAAAATGTTTCTAACCTACTATCTACTACCAACTTAGTCATACCCTAAAACAGTGGTTCTCAACCTGTGGGTCACCCGACACCTTTAGTGGTTGCTTCTCCGATGTCCTGCATATCAGATATTTACGCTACAATTCACAACAGTAGCAAAATTACAGTTATGAAGTAGCAACAAAATAATTTTAACGGCTGGGGGTGGGGGTCACCACAACAGGAGAAACTATACTACAGGGTTCCAGCATCGGTAAGGTTGAGAACCACTGCCCTAAACCAAGCATTGCCTCTTTGTAAATCCAAGCACCAGTCATGATGTTTAATTAAAATCACAAGAGTAGCTTCGTTGTGTGTTTTTTTTTTTTCTGGAAATATCCGTCCCAGCAGACTCTACGCTGTTTCCCTAGGAAATAAAGGAGCGGGAGCCAGCAGCAGACCTTGGGGACAGCCGCTCCCCGGCACTCTAATTAATCTCTCTGGGATTCGGCCACTCTGTTCTACTGGAAATAGGTGTCCTCGGGACTGCAAATCAATTACCTTCCCAGTCCCCTGCAGCAGGTCACCGGGCTGGAGTCTGGATGAGTGGCTACCTCAAGGATGCTCTGAAGCATGAGACATGAGGTGACATGACCATGGCTAGGCATGACCTGGTGGCAGCTGTCAGACCACACTGACATGGGAGGAGAAAAAAACAGCTTCTTTCCCAGAAAGCTCACAAGTGAGCTCCACTGAGAATACATCTGTAAGTAAGGGCAGGCCCTAGGCGGAAGGCAACGCTTAAGACATTTTGTAATAATTAACAGATCTTACTGGGTGTAGTACTATATGCTTTTAATCCCAGCATTTGGGAAGCAGAAGCATGTGGATCTCTGTAAGTTCAAGGCCAGCCTGACCTACATTAGCAAGTTCCAGGATGGGACTACATGCAGGGATCCTATCTCAAAAAATATCAAGACAGTAATAACAATAATAATAAAATTATAATAATAATAAAATCTTTAAGCTCAGTAGGCTAAAGTCAGTAAATGAATAATAATAACTTCACCATTACATTTAACAAAATCATATACAAATAACAGAAAGTGTTCAATGAAAGGCAGAAATCTATCTGAAGGAAAAAAAAGTCTTTCAATATCTCTGTAGAGAGGGCTCAGCGGGTAAAGTGCTAGTCTCAAAAGCACAAGAACCTTGAGTTTGAGTTCCCAGACCCCACATGAAAAAGTCAAGAGGTCTGCTGGATGGGGAAAAAATATATAGATCACCAGAGTTGGCAGGGCAGCCAGTGTGACCTCATCAGTGAGCTGCAGGTTCACAGAGAAGTCCTGTCTCAAAAATAAGGTACTGAGCAGAAGAGGGAGAGAGTCTCCATCAATCACCAGCCTCCACAGGCACACAAACACATATATAATCGTGCATGATAAACATGCACACACAAACACATACATATTCATGCAAGACATACACACACACAAACACATACATATTCATGCAAGACAGATACACACACAAACATATGTTGTGGAATATTATTTTAACTAGGCAAAGATGTGTTAGTTTATACTATGGAATATTACTTTAACTTTATAAAGATGTGTTACCTTAGTTTATACTATGGAATATTACTTTAAATTTATAAAGATGTGTTACCTTAGTTTATTCTATGGAATATTACTTTAACTGTATAAAGATGTGTTACATTAGTTTATTCTATGGAATATTACTTTAACTATATAAAGATGTGTTACCTTAGTTTATTCTATAGAATATTACTTTAACTGTATAAAGATTGGTTACATTAGTTTATGCTATGGAATATTACTTGGCACCCACGTTGGGCGCCAAAATGAAGGCGTAAGTCACAAACAATGCCACACCAATTCGGGGTTATGATTATTAGGGTGGTATTTATTTAAAGGGGAAAAACTTACAGATCACTGTCCCAGGCAACAGCCCTCTACGCAACCAGGAAAGGAGTCTAGTCGCCAGCGGAGCAGGAAGTGAAGAGAGAGAGGAGAGGGAAGTGGCCGCTTTTTTAAAGGGAAAGAGACCACGCCCCAATGGGCTGGTATCTCAGCGGTGATAGGCTGGAGGAGTGGGAGGACCTCCCGCAACACCTCCCCCTTTTGTTTAAATAAGAGAGTTCTAAACCTACTATGAAATTATATACAATAAGTACAAATATCCTATTCTAACTAGCTTAGGTCTTGTATAATAAATAACTTGGCCAAGTCATGAGAGAAAGTAACTACATTTATATAGTCTTCAACCCCATCAAAGATCTGAGAAGGGAAATAATGTTACCTGGGTAATTAGGAAGTTCAGTAAAACAACTTCCAAAACATGCAACAAATCACAGAGACAACTGGCTACCTGGGCAATCACCCAAAATCACGTTAGCAGCGTTGAAGCAACCAACTTTGGCTAAGGCCTAACATAACTGACATACCATTTTCAAAGGCAAGCAACTTTTCAAAACTATCTTACCCTGTCTTGGCAGGATATGACAGCCCTGTTTTATCCATTGATGCACGCTCTGTATCTTTGTCAGTCGTTGAGGTATGGGCATTTCTTTGCCCCAAGGCCAGTTCTGCCAAAAAGAAGGCTCCAGGTGGAGTGTCTTTGGTGCTCAACATTCTCTCGGGAATAGAGTGGTGTTGCCAGGAGCAATTGTGTCTCACTACCACAAAACTCTGAGTTAGATTAAAGGCCATTTTCTACAGCTCTTTGAAGAAGTTGAAGATTATCTATCTATACTGAGTATAATCTCTATATATCTAAAGAACCTGATTAGTCTATTATAAATGACAAACTTAGATGACTATTAGTCTATATAATTCTCAATATCTATCTAACTTAAAGACTAAGACAATAAACGACTGTGAAACAAATGAGGACAATGACCTCCAAATATAAACAATGTACAAATATACATTGCAGTAGGTAAATATATATCAATACACAAATATTATATAAATATCTTAATCAGAGGTAGAAATGTACACTGCAATATGGTAAATATATACAATATATATCAATACAATATATGTCAATACATAAAAAATGTTTTAAACAGAGGTAGAAACATGCATGCGTACAATAGTCAATATAATTTAACTTTGCATGAATATACAAGAATCTATACCAATATATTTGTCTAAAGACAGTAACTCACAATTACAAAACTGTATAAAGATGAGTTACATTTGCTTCTGCTGCCTTTGTTAATGATGAAAAGGCGTGTTGCTGGTTCACCTTGCCTGCCTAAGGCACCTGATTGACCTAATTAAAAAGCTGAACGGGGTGGTGGGCAGAGAAAATAAATAAGAGGAGGAATCTAGAAAAGAAGGATGAAAAAGATTGAGGGAGAAAGAGAAGGAGCTGCAGGCAGCTGCCAGCCAGCAGTTCAGAGTAGGACTGTAGTGATCGGAGCAGCGGGCTACGTTCCTGGCACCCGGCCGCCCGCCCGGCTAGCTTTATACCCGAAATAATTACACGGAAACTGTATTCTTTTAAACACTGCCTGGCCCATTAGTTCCAGCCTCTTATTGGCTAGCTCTTACATATTGATCTAACCCATTTCTAATGATCTGTGTAGCCTAAGAGGTGGCTTACCAGGGAAGATCTTAACCTGTGGCTGTCTGGAGTGGGAGAATCATGGCGACTGCCTGACTCGGCTTCTTTCTCCCAGCATTCTTTTCAGTCTTCTCCGCCTACCTAATTTTCTGTCCTCTTAAAGGGCCAAGGCAGTCTCTTTATTTAACCAATGAAATTAACACAAAACAGAAGACTCTCCCCCATCATTTCCCCTTTTTTCTGTTTAAACAAAAAAGAAAGGCTTTCACTTTAACATAGTAAAATTACATATAACAAAACAGTTATAAAGCAAGAATTACAGTTACAATATTTATATCTACTTTATCTTTTATCATAACTAAGGAAAACTATAACTATAACTAACCATTCTTCAACTCCATCAAAGACTCCAGAAGGATACAATTTTCTTAGGTCAAAGGTTAATTTGGGAATTTTACCATCATTTGCTTTCACAGGACCCGCTAAGAAGAACGTCGCCCCCATGTCAGCTAGAAGCAATCTTAGAGGACAACGTCCCCTCTCCCAACAGAGTTTGCCCTCAGGGTTAGGGATATCATTTAGTGGTTGGTTTAGGGTTGAGGGGATGGGGGAGATATTTTATGGAATTAGGGGTATTTTTTTTTTAAAAAAAAAAGGGGGGGGATTAACTGGTTTGATGGGATGATTGGTATTTGTGAATTACTGTTTTTAGAAAATCGTATTGGTACTGTTTCTTGTATATTGATATATTGAATATTGAATGTGAGTGTTCCTACCTCTATTTTTGTATAAGAGTATGCTTATAACTTTGTCTATATTGTATTGATACATCTACCATATTACAATGTACATTTCTACCTCTGATATCATTTATATAATAACATTGTTTACATTTGATATGTAATGACATTCTTTACAGTTGAAGATCATTGTCTTCATATATTGCACAGTTGTTTATTCTCTTAGTCTTCAAGTTAGATAGGTATTGAGAATTATATGTTTGTCATATTTATTTTTAGGTTAATCAGGTTTT